ACAACAGCATACATAACATGAGGAGTTCCATTAGATCAGCTAACTGCTCGGCAGACATGTCCCACAGAGTGGAGCCGTAACGCTGAACAAGGGGAAACCAGTCAGGGGCAGGACCGCCAACCCCGTAAACCAAACGAACCGTGTCAGTGAGCTGAGCAAAGCACTGACCAGGGGGGTGAAGGCGGCCACAAGGGTGGCCCCGGCGAGCACCTGTCAGAACCTGATAGGTGCAGGGAGGGTAAACAGCACCACGCTGGGGCTGACGCGGCCCCGACCCCGAAGCCAGCTGCGGCCGCTGCTGCTGCGGAGGCTGCTGGGAGGAGAGGGGCTGCTGCTGCTGCTGAAGCTGCTGCTGACGCTGGGCCCGGTACCACGCCGCTGCTCCACCCACCGGGGCTGGCAGTACAGGGGGCGACTGACGAACTCGGGCGTCGCCACCACCAGCAGGCGCAGTGGAGTCACCGGTCGCTGCACGAGACGTCTCTCCAGGCCCTGCACTCCCACCACCGCCAGTCGCAACGCCACCCCCACTACCTCCGCCTCCACCAACGCCGCCGCCAGCACCGCCCCTCTTGCCACCCCTACCGCGGGACCGCGACGAAGTCGTAACAGCAGCTGCGGTCGCGTCAGTAGCGGCAGTGGCGAGAGAGGCAGTAAAGGTGGGCAACTGCGGGACTGTGCACCCGTGGAAGAGTGGGGGGGGCACAGCACCAGAGGCAGCGGCTACGGAGCGGAGGTTGCTCTCGATGTCCTTGAGCGCAGACTCAAGGACCTCAATAGTGAGCTCACTAGGGTGCTTCAGGAGAAGCGCGTCACGAACGGAGGCAAGGCGGTCAGGGAGGCTAGTGGCGATGAAATAGATAGTAATCGCCATGGGAGGAGGAAGCAGTGCAAGCTGTGCCTCAGTGCAAGCAGCGCGGTAACTAGAGTCGAGCGAGCGGAGGTGAGCAATCAAGTCAGCAGAGCGCTCAAATGAGGCGAGATCAGGGAACAGGAACGGGAGGAAAAGGCGGCCAAGAGAGACAGCAGCAGGAGTGGAGTAGCGGGCCTTAATCGCAGTCAGGTACTCAGCAGCAGTGCGAACCTGAGCAAAGTGAGCCTCCTCAGACTCAGGGAGGAGGGTGCTGAGCGCGATGCAGGCCGCAGCGTCACGCGACGTCCAAGCTGTCAGGTCAGCGCGCTGGCTAGCAAAGTGGGCTCTAGCGGCGTCGTCAGGGGCAGGGCCTAAAGGCGTAGGTTCGGGGGGCGCAGGGAGGGCACCAGTAGCGTGCGCCCAGAGGGTCTCGCCTGACTGGACCTGACTCTCTAACAGACGGCGAGCGCGCATAAGCCAGAGTGAAAAGTCAAGGGGTCTACCGTCAGCGTCGAAACGAAGAACACGCGGAGTCGCCATAGCGGAAACTGACGGAAAAAACGGAGGCAAATGGTAACTAGGGTTTAGCCCTAGTAAAGGAAAGGCACGGCCGCAGGCGAGACCAGCAGCGGCGATTGGTGGGGGGGAGCGGATGCTACGGCGGACGCGACAGCGGGGGGCGACAGCGCGCGCGGCTGGCGACGGCAGCGCGCGCAGCGGCGGGCGACGGGAGCGGGCGCAGCGGCGACGGGCGCAGGCTGCGGGCGCAGCGGCGGGCGACGGGAGCAGGCGCCGCGGCGACGTGCGCAGGGGGAGTGGGCAGCGGCGGCGGGCGCAGCGGCGACGGGCACAGGATGCGGGCGCGGCGGCGGGCGACGGGAGGAGGCGCAGCGGCGGCGCGCGTAGGGGGGGACGGGCGACGGGACGACGGGCAGGGAGAGCGCGACGCGACGGGGGCAGGGGAAGGCGCGATTCGACAGGCAGCGGGGGAAGGGGACGCGATTCGACGGGCAGCGGGGGGAAAAACGCGACTCGACGGGCAGCTGGGGGAAAAACGCGACTCGACGGGCAGTGGGGGAAAAAACGCGACGGTCAGCAGGGGGGAGGGGGAAGGTCGCTACGCTACGAGACGGCGGAACGGGCGGTAACGAAGGAACGCGATTAGAGCGGGCCGGCGCTAGGCTTGGGCAAGACGTGCGCAACTAGTACGAGAGAGGGGGACAGGCTCGGGCGAAACGAACGAGGCCGGGAGGAGCGGGATCCCACAGGATCCGAACCTAGGTGATACCATGTCAAACTGAGGAATGAATGATGCATTGATGTTGGTTTGGGGTACATATAACAAACCCTAACTTTTGTACCCCCTAAGACAAACCTCACTACAGGCTACAACATTTGACAGCACCCACAGAACGATACCCCCATTGCACCCGTAACACCGAGTAAGGAGTCACGAAAAATTCCTTTGTTATGAGTTTTACTAAATAGAGTGCCCGGAAGACTTTATAAAGAAGAACGTGATTACAGAATGAGGAAACAATGAAGAAAGTGAGGATATATAGGGCGAAACTAGCTAGGCAAGAACCTCTAGATGTGCGTGGCTCGGAAATGTCGCGATTGGTGCGGGCCGAGTCGGAATTGGTTCGGTGCGAAAGTGTAGGCCGAGCCATCCTGACGCGAAGTGCTCGGGCTGTCCTCGCTAGGGGTAGCCTCTACAGTAATGAATTGTATATTCATTACAGTTCCATTGCACTCGTAACACCGAGTAAGGAATAATGGAAATTTCTGTACAAGGTGCCTTTCCGTCGTAACCTCGGTTTTCTCGATAAAGCTTTTCCTTCGATAGCTACACGTTCCGCCATGTTTTCAGAAAAGAAAGATCTCTGAGAGAATTGTCGCGGCGCGGGCTTTGGTATCTAATTGCATGTTTTTTTCATCACGCTCAAATTTTTACACAACCCGAAAGGCACACGCTCCACCTTTTATCGCGAGCGGTGCGTGCTCCCGGCATTTTGTCTGCAAAGTGGTAGTGTACATGTAAGTGTACGGTCAGGTCGGAAGTTTTTGCCAGGAACCCAACTGAGAGCCTCCAACATTGTTGGAGCCATACCAGCGTAGTACAGTGTTGCCAGGCCTACGTGTGACAGCTCGTACTTTAGGCTCGATAAGGCGCCACCCAGTCGATAGTCCTATGAGCGCCAAATGGCAGTCATTGAAACGACAGGTTCATGAGCAACAAAAACTGAGCAACGCGAACGTGGACCAATAGTGTTCATTTTCGCGACGATCCGCGAACATAAGCACGTTAAACAATGTCAGACAAGTTTTCCGCCAAAAAGCATGCATGCACCAGTCTGACGTCAACGCGGATGCAACGGCTGAATGTGTCCTCACATTTCACAGCTACAAAATTAGCACCAATCGCAGCCAGCCGTTCATGAACAAAGCTGCCCACGTAGTATGTTTGCCACGTTGCCCCAGGTGCTCATTAACACCATGCGTGAAACGGCCAACGTGTTAATTACAACGAAGCAAGTCCAATCCGCATTTTATCGACAAAGTTCATGAGCATGCCAGCTGCACGCCACCTGGCCTCCAAGGGGATCAACCAATGTGATTCTCACCTCTCAGGGACACCCATAAGGGTTTGCCACCGCATGCTTGTCACTGTGTACAACCTCGATTTGTTAAAAAACAGACCGCGAGCATGAGCGAACGAGGATAAACCAGCACAGCCCTTGTGGATGGGAACCGGATAAAACAACGTTCGCGTCGCGATATGCATCCAATCGGTGCTCGCCTTGTTCAGCACGCAAATCCCGCAAGCAAGTGCAGGTGTTGCCCGTGCTTCGTGGACCCCAGGCCATCACACTCGTATTGATTGTCCTTCTTGCTCATTACCAACCGTCCTGTGCTCGCTGTTTGGCTTTCCACCATTCCATTTCGAACCATCTCGCATTAGCAGTCCCTCTAGCCGTTGTTCACAAGATTCAGCCCTTTGCTCCTTCATTGCCGTTAGCCTGGGGCTCACCCGCTTTCACCTCTAGCAACTAGAGATGCCTACGGGCCGGCCGGACGACCCAGTCGCACTTGTAGACGATGAGGATGACGACCTATTGGAAGTAGATGCCGAGTCGGATCACGCCGGAACGGGCGGAGAGGATGCCACGAAAGTCCCAAGCGGCCGCCGCTCGCGTAACAGGGGCGGCCAGCACCAAAAACGCCAAAAAGACGACTTGTGCAGAACAGCAACCAACGACCGGCCCGGCTACAAGGTCGCACCGTGCACGGGCCACGGAAGAACCGTATTCATTCCAACCCCCGCCTCCACCACAGAAGTCGCTACCACCGGCACAGGATCTTATTGCCGACATGGCACGGAGCATGAAGCAGCTCCCGGGCATTACCCCGGCGTGCCGAGCTAGGAAGGAACCGTCGGTCAAGAGTGGCAACTGGCCCACGAAGCCGGTTTCTAACTGGCATGGGTTCGGCACTACGTTGAACGTTGCCGACGCTTTCCACATGTAGGACGATGCACCAATCACGGACACCGCACTGGACTTCCACAACATGTAAGTCCCGCCAGTGCTATGGAGATGTTTTACCGCATGTCAATACTTGCATGTCCAAAATTCCTACACTGCTTCCTTCTAACCTGTGCGATTCAACCCCCCTGTTCGTACCCGTGCAGCATCTTGGACATACGCCATCCGAAATTGGACAACGGAAAAACGTGGATCGCGCTCGATGTCAAAGCTTACGACTACTGGGCATCACAAAGGAAGCTCATCGCATGCTGCGACGACAAGGACTCCTTTTTGCAATTCGATTATGTGGCAATTTTTGCCGCGGCTGAGTACGTGATCCAATCACCCTCCCGTATTTTTCCTAACGGCTATGGACCTTTAACCACTACCGTCGTGTTCTTCTCAGGTTTCACTTCAGCTTGTTTGTTTTGGAGAACGCAAGCACTCTGGTCACATCAGCCGACGGTGGTGAGGAGCTCCCCCCCCCCAAGCTGTGGCTATATGATTCGACAAGTCATCATGCAGCCAACCCTGCAGTCGTCACAAACGTCCGCCTGTAAGTTTAGGCGCTCAACGGATGTTTGTAACCGGCTTGGCGCAAAACCAACTAATCTCTTTCCATGTGCGTTGACAGGATTCTCGCATCGGAGCTGAACTGTGTCTACCCCGAGCTTTCACGAACGGTGGTCGAGTCCCGAATTGGCTCCATCCCCTATCGCGCACTCGATGTGAGATGTTTGATTTTCCGGCCTTCGCACATGTCTCCCCCCCTTATGTGTACTAATGATTCACGGTTGTTATGCACAGATCCAATACGAGATACCACGACAGCCCGAGAAGAGTCTCGACTGTGGTGTTAACGCGGGCATGTACCTCCATTTGCATGTTACCACCAACTTCCAACACCTCGGAGGTCCAATCGTATTCACCACTGCACCCCTGCGTTACCGTCGCGACTGGCGGGCTGACATGTGCGCCCACATATCTGGCAATTTGCTATCTGCCCTTCAAACAGCTGGCCTCACCCTTCCCCCACAGAAGCTCTCCCGTGCAGTTGCCGTGCCAACCAGTGGAGACGTGTCGGAGATGAGCGGTGTCGTCCGGGAGACAAGCTCCGACGTGCAGACCCTGAAGAAGGAAGTCGCCGCTCTGTGCGCAGATTATGCCGAGCTGCAGTCGAAGTTCACCAGCGTGAGCCAGCAGCTGTTTGAGCGCGTCGGGGCAATGGAGAAGGCTCGGGACACAACGAAGAACTTAGAGGGCCAGTTGGGTGCGCCAGGCCCCGGTGACGTGGCATCTCCATCCAAGCGGGTGGACTCTAGTTCCGACCCGGGGCTCAGAGACACCGCGGCCTCCCCCCTTGCAGGATTTCGGCAGGCATCGCGGATTGGGGCTGACCAAGACGCAGCGCCGCCGCAGCAGCACCACCGTGAGCCACAGTACGCACCTGCATCGCCGTCACCCGCCCCCGCTCCTGCACAGCCTCATCAGCCTCGCGTACCAACAGGGCAGGACGCGGCATACTATCATCCGGGCACATCCCGCCCTGCCCCGCCGTAGCGACCAGTCGCTCCTCTCCCACCTGCGCCTCCCCCATCAGGTCCCATATACCCACGGTTCTCTGCCGGGCCACCTTATGCTCCACCGCCCGGGATGCCGTTCTTCTGGCAAGGAGGACCCCCGCAGCCCGCACCCCCCCCGCAGCAGTCGTTCCCACCGCCCGCCATCCCGAGTATGAGTGGTGCGGGTGAAGGCGGCGAGGAGTGGATGCACGACGCCGGAGGCGAGGTTGGTGTGTTTGGGGCTACAAACGAGGCCTACAACGGCGGACGTCCAAGGAACAAGTACGTCGGTGTTACCGGGGGTGGAGATGTTTGGTTTGCCAAGCTGTTGATGCCGCCCCCAGGCAACCCCATACGCATGGGGTCTTTCCCGAGCGAGGAGGAGGCAGCCAAGGGATACAAGGCTGCCGCACTGGTGGTAAGGCCGCAGGGTTATCACATCCAGCGCAGTATTGAACTGACCCCGTCGGAGCAGCAGCTGCTCAAAGGGTGCATCAAGCAGCACGTGGCAACCCTCGCCGAGCGTGGCCTCTGGCATAGGTGGCGCGAATGGCGGCAGCTCATGCCGGAGCTTCCGCCGGCTCCACTGCTACAGGTTCCTCACGCCCCCACCATGCTGCCTCCGCGTTGCCACACAACCTCCGGGCAGCAGCGTTGCCACACAACCTCCGGGCATGGCCCACTCCCGACCGCAATGTGGTCAGCCGCAATATTTGGATGAGCATCAGGGTTACAACTGAGGTACGATCTTTATTTATGCCGCATCCACTTGTCCACGGTTGTTTGTGACCTTGGTATCCTGTGTGTTTCCATCGCAGCTTGATGAGGCAAGAGTGTGATACATCGTCGGTAGGAACCTTACTCTATACCATGCCCCGGATTCCGTGGTAGACAAATCCTAGATTTTGATAGCAGCTTGTGCATGTTTATTAGTTAGAGGTTTCAGCATGGAAGGAATAACATTGCACTAATGCAACGGTAATTGTGCGATCTTTACCATGTTATGGCTCGACTTTGCTGAAAGCCCAAACCTCAGCATTGTAGCTATATTTTGACGTGTTATCAACAGACAGCCCGGAGTCGGTTTTTTAGCGAGAGGGGAGCTTGCAGTCATCGTAGTGCCGCATCAACAAGGTCCAGACGACGACGAATAGTGTATGTGTTAATAACGGTTATAACACATCGCGTTAAATATCTGGACATTACCACATGCGACATAGTGCGGGAACCGAAGCATCATTGTGTAGCACGGAACACGTAGCGTAGAATGCAGACTGTACAGTGCCCGTCAGGACATGAGGTGTCGCTAAATCACCGGTCCACGTTAGAAAACACAAAAACACTCGATAAACGCCGTCGTGCATCGCAAGTCACTAGGTAGGCGCTGTGTTTCGGAACGTGCACCGCGCAGTACAGTTGCGCGCAATTATAGAAACGAGGAACATTGCACGTCTGAGCTAAAGGAACACCAGTCAAGTTACCACACATACTAGCGCAAAAAATACAGCTCCCGTCGCTTCCGACAGATATATATCACGAACCACCCAGAGGACAACAGATCATTAACCCAGAGGACAACAGATCATTAGCATTAGCTAAAGGCACGCTGCAAGAGCAAGCACCAACCTCCACACTTTCCGAGGAGATTAACAGACGTAGCATGACCACTACTCTATACAGCCCACAGATGGTGGAACCTGCTTACAGTGCATTGGAAAGCAGCAGTGCAGCATCCACAGTTTTTTACCACGAGGAGCACGACGGTCGGGTGAACGGCACTACTAATGTCCACGGTGGTCATGAAGAGGCGAAGACAAGCAGTATCTACAATTGGCACTCGTTTGGAATTACAGTCTCCGGAGCAGACCTAGCTCGTTTGTCGTCGTACCTGGCCGTGAACGACAACATTGTCGATTTACACAACATGTAAGCATATCAAGCTGGTGCAAAGTTTTCAGAGTGGCCAATTAGATAACGTAAAAAGGTTTCTCGTACGTACCTGACAGCTTGCTTGACATTCGGCAACCACGCCTTGGAAACGGATAGACATGGATCGCTCTCGACTCCAAGGCCTTCGAGTATATGTCAAAGCATGGCAAGCTCATTTCATGCTGCCCGGCTAAACGGTCGTTTCTCGACTTCGACAACGTAGCGATCGTGGTCACCGGAAGGTAAGAATCGTGCCATTCCTACGTCACTAAGCACCGCACAATACCTTATCCGCCGTCTCTTACGCCCTAAGAATGGTCTGCGCAGGTTCCATTTCAGCCTGGTGATTGTCGCGAACGCAAAAGTTCTTCTACAAAATCCAACCCCGCCTTGGGCAGCATCCCAGCCGAAATTCTACCACTATGATTCTGCGGGCGTGCATTGCGAAACGGGAACGGAATGGGATGTGATTGAAAGGTAACGCGATTAAAACACCATTATTCCAAGGATGAAGCTCCAACATCACTGCCAGTACAATCACCCTGATGTCAATGCTGTGTGCAAGCTGGTCGCCGCGGAGATACATCGTGTCCGGCCTGGACTAGGTTTACAGGCTTGTCTAGCTATGGTGGAGCAAGTCGAATGGCGCATTTTACAGGTACCATCTCGCCACCGTTTGACAATGTCCATGTCAGAGTAATTATCAAAGAATCTAAAACGCACGCTCCCTGTTGCTCATGCAGGCATCGTAGATCCCACAGAAACCTCTTGGCAGTGAAGACTGTGGTATTTACACATGCATGTTTCTACGTACCCTTGTTAAACATGATTTTCTAAACATTGACGGGCCTCTGTATCTCGAGATGGACCCGGCGGACTATCGGGTCGTCTTACAATCCCAGTTAACGTCACTTCTACGCGGAGCACTGACGCTGCAACTACAGGCGGAGGGTGTCATCCTGCCGTCGCAAGGGCCCTACCATCGGCGTCACGAGGAGGAGTTCGTAACAGTGGAGGCCGAAGCTTCCACAATCCAGCACGACCTAGCGCAGCGATTGGAGATAGTTGGGCTTACCCGGGAGGTTCGGATGCTCCGGGCTGGCATTGCAAGCATCCGTAAAAAAACCGATGAACTGCAGGTGTTGATTACCACTAAGCTGGACGCGATCGCGCTCCATCATCAATAAGACTCCGTTAGTTGACGATTTCCCTTGTCTCGAACACTGAGGTATATGCCAATCATGACGTTATTGGTGTTGACTATGTGGGTAGGGCCACGCAGTGCATACCTATCATTTGATTGCGCGAAGGAGTCACATTGACAATCTGTTTGTAAGCCCAGGAAATCCTGTTCTGATGCGTGGCCTCTCCAACTAGCAACAAGGGCCATCAGGCCTGATCTAAACTGCAAAAATGTGTACGACAGACCCACGAGCCATACAAGCACCCCACTTCAGCCTGTACAAGAATGAGAACTGTACCAACTGCACCAAACTATACTGAACACATATGGTGGTCATACTGGGTAGGCGCCCAGTAAACTGGTTGCTAGGTCGCTACGAAGTGGCCCGAACAATTAGTGTTATCCATGTATGTCATTCTTCAGTTACATCTCTGGAATTGGACAGACCTACAACTGCTAATGTCAAAAGGATCTCAAACGACGGCTTCTAGCATTCCTGCAACCCAGTATGTATTTCTAGCGTGACTTTTTTGGAATTGGAAAGCAACATTCAAAAAGGGCCACTATCATGTCGAATCACTAAGACACAAACGGAGCGAAGCATACCGAAGAACTATTGAGTCAACTCTTGGAGGTTGAAGTAACTGCTGGAAAATACAAGAAGGACAAAGGTCAGCGACATTCGTGGGGACGTGGGGACATTCGTCCCCAAGCACGTTTTCATTTCTCCGTTGTAGGTCTAATTTCCCACGCGCCCACCCCATTGTGTACCGTATGTTGTTATGTAGACTTGCGTACGACGTGAACGATGTACTAGAACCCATATGAATTGCTAACGCTGCCTTTGCAAGCCTGCCTTAGTAGACTTTAAACATTATGCTATATTATATTCATCGATTTTTGTGAATCAATCTTGCCCTCACGTACTAGTGGCAGGTAATTGAGCCTCTTCCACAAACGCAACCGCTATACACTGTTCCTGCTGCGATCAGAAGTTGATCGTAGGCCACGATCTACTCAGGAAGGTTCGCACGCAGTAAGGTAGTGTTGGTGGGCCCTTGACCTCAATAGCAGAGTGAATGTAAAATGCTTTGAGATGAATAAAACATGCAAATGGAAGGAATATAAATATGAGTACAGGGGAATACGAAACGACCTAACTAGCCATGTACTCTAAGGGGTACATTCCCTTATTCAGATACATCTCCAACCGAGCGGCGCGTACAGTTTCGTAACTGTTCCCGCCAAAACCATCCTGCCTGCAGCTGCCCGATGCCGTCTGCTTCCGACGGTCCAGATGTGCTGTAACCGTCTGACTCTTCGGTTCGATTCCAACTGTCTGACGCTTCGCGTTCATTCCCGATATTGCCTGCTTCTCTTTGCTGCGGTGAGGAGTGCACAGTAATATCAAATATTACGATTCGTAACAGTTCCGACCCGTAGTTCACCCCTTGCAAAGATCCTATGGGCTATTCACAAGCCCAACATTCATCCTGTTACAATTTTACCCCATTTGATGTTACTGAGCACTCCTCACCGCAGCAAAGAGAAGCACGCAATATCAAGAATGAACGTGAAGCGTTAGATGGTTGGAATCGAACCGAAGCGTCGGACGGTTACAGCACATCTGGACCGTCGGAAGCAGACGGCATCAGCCAGATGCAGGCAGGATGGGTTTGGCGGGAACAGTTACGAGATTGTACGCGCCGCACGGTTGGGGATGTATTTGAATACGGCAATGTACCCATTAGAGTACATGGCTAGGAAGGTCGTTTCGTATTCCCCCGTACACTTAGTTATATCATTGTGTTTGCATGTTCTTATCATCTCAAGCATTTTACATTGATTCTGCTATTGAGTTCAAGGGCCTGCGTGCGACCCTTCCTGAGTAGATCCTGGGCTACGATCAACTTCTGATCGCAGCACCTTCCCTACCACCCCAGATGCACCCGTGGGTAAGAAAGGATGTGTTCATTCGTGTCATCGGGATTATGCATTGACTTTATTTATGGAGCCCACATATCACTAAATCGGTTGGTAAGCTCATCAGCAACATTCCAAGCAATGTCAATTCAACCAGGAACCTGACAGAAGTAGGGTGTTAATAAGCTTATCCAAATTGTATAGGAGTGTACATTCCGTGCTGGAAACCGTGACCCATCATTTTGACCATCTGTTTTTGATGCGTATATGCTGCTCAAACGCCAAGCTGTCAGGTACCTGGCCGCAAGTGTTTCACGCCAACGTCCAATAACATTGGACGTCGTGACATGCGTACGTGACTGGCTCTGATTACCAGCTACGCACGTGATGCGATATGTCCCACCCAGGCTGACTGTACCTGGTCGACATTGAACAGGCCAGTGAATCCCCATCGGATGAGTCACACGCAGTGCGATTGGTCGAAATGACGCATCCGAGATTATTGACAAAGGCGCGCAACCAGTCGATGGTGCACCTTCTCCCCTGGACCAACATTTCTCCCCATCAAAGCTAACTCCTCGAAACACATGACGGGGACATTAGGGTGCAGCTTTCCTCATAGTCCAGTCAATCCTTCCCGTTCAGCTAACACGTTTCCTGGATCTAGTTTCCGTATCGAATCCCTTTCCCGGTATGGGGCGCAAGCGTAAGGGACAGTCCCTTAACGACTGCCCTAAGGACCTCAATCAAATCCCTTACATCCGATGGATCAACGACCAGATCGCTAAAAACCGACCATCGACGGGCGTACAGCCGCCGCATGCGGGTGACGGGCAGGGTTCCAGTGCACCTTCTCCCAGCTCGGGTCCTTCGCGCGTGCGCAGGCAGCCTACCAGAACCGCCGCACCAGTACGGCCAGTCGCAGAGAAAGAAGTTGACGACGATGACGATGACGAGTACGAAGGCACCGACGAAGAGGATGTCGAGCCTGAAGATCTTGGCATGTCCCCTACCGACGATGAGGGCTACGACGACGACGCTCGCGACTGTGCGGCGGGGGAGCCCCGGCAGGAGCCCCGGAAGAATCGGGCCGCTGCCCCGGTCGAGAGGGGAGCGTGGACTGACGAGGAAAGCACTATTTTTGCCGCGGCTCGGTGGTTTACCAACGACAAGCTCGAGCCACGCAAGGGCAAGCAAGGCACGCAATACTGGGTCAGCCTTCTCGATCACATCAAGGGGGCTAATCCGGGTTGGTGCAAGAACGTCAATGCTTTGCAGAAGCAGCAACTTGATGGCCGAGTGGGACGAGTACAAACGAATGGATAGCGAGGGCCAGAGTTCCTACGAGAAACCGCCATGGTGGCCATACATGGAGCTATACAACTTGGACACCGGAGCATCCGGCCCGCATGGAGAGGATGGAGGCGGCGCCACGAACGCCAACGAGGAGGCCGGCATGGATGTACCAAGCTCCTCTCAGCGAGTCACATCGACACCTACCTTTACAGGTGTGAGCCTGGTGGTTATGTGAAGGTGAGAATCCCGCGAACTTTTGGGTGAACCCAAATCATATTACACCGTTTGTACTTGCAACATGTACCTGCAATCTCATCATGTTTCAATTGTACTACTCACTCCATGTGTGCAACATTCCGTCCCTGTCACAGCTCCGCCACCGCAAAGCACTGCTACACCTAGGCGCGCCCGGGTGCATGAGACGGCGACGATGCAAGCCGCCATGCTTGTCTGCGCGACCATCAAAGACTGTCATGTGGACGCACTCACGCGCATCGAGGGACTCGTCCGCGAGTGGATGGCGCAGGATTTGCGCATTGCCCGCGAGCGCATGGCGCTATCAGCGCCCCCACATGTGCACGTTGGAACGAATAGCCACATCCATCCTCCAACACGCGGGGAGTCTGCACCACCTCCCGATCGTCGTGCACCAAACACCGCTGGAGGCGAGGCCGGCGTGCACCACGGCGAAGCCGCGGACATAGTCCCGGTAGCTCAGGGGGCTCAACCTGTGGAGTTATGGGTGCGCGGGGGCGACGACTAGCGTAAGAGTCCTGCAGCGTTTAGTCATGTCGTGCCCGTGTTTACTTTACTAACATTTGCCCAGTTTCCGCACATGTTGAGCAAGAACACTCCACACGCGGCTCAAGAGTGGATGCGACAGAACTTGCGCACGTTGCGCCCAATGGTGGGGCGCCATCTACGTTTGGAGGTGCCGTTACAACTCTCCACAGCCATGCGTGTTTAGCTCTCCTTCTGGCATCGTGTCGTCCTTTTTTTAACCGTCGGGCACACAGTGGTCCACCTGGTGTCGTAGCACAGTCTTATCACGGGGCACACACTGGTTGTAGCCAGTATAGTTGCACTGTGCACAAACTGATGTTGCATTTAACGACATTTATGCCATTTGACCTTGCCTTAGCATGTTAAGAAAGGGTCTTGCAACACCATTGCTTATACCCAATTGCATAACTACATGGCAACGTGGAATTCAAGGGTTTGGTTGACAGGGTATGCCGTTGTAGGTTTGTGTGTTTCAAGGTCGGGCACGGCCACTTGGGCTGCACAGTGTGGTGGATTCATTCAATTTGATTGTGCTAATGAACACTAACCAATCGGGTTCACGAAATCCGACATGCCAATTGAAAGTGTGTTGTAGCAAGATTCGCGTTCAGGCACCGATATGCGTGACGAATCCGGATGTGTGATATGCAGTTTTTGTTGCTAATAAACGTAGCGACACTTCGCAGTCGCGCGTCTCAAAAATTTTTAACGGTTGATGCGAGGCTGCGCCATACACTGGCCACGTGTTGCCGAATAATGTGTGGGTGCATGCGCGTGGACTGTAGTGTGTGATGGAAACTATCATGTTTACTTTCCCTAACGCTTTTTTGCGTGTGCTTATGTGGCGATGGACTACTGGTGCACATTATCGGCCATGTTAATATCGCTCAAAATCACCAACCAATCGGAATGCCGATAACTAACCGTGATGTGTCACGGTTTTTTAGCTATTCGAGAAACAAGAGAACGATTGGCTGGATCCTGAACCCCATTCTCAACAGGTTAGGCTGGTCAGGCGTGGATGAAACAAATGCAATCTCGAGTATCACAACTATGTGCGGCAACCGGGATTGCGAGTTTCAAGGGGTGGGTTGATCGGGTATGCCGGTGTATGTGGGTGTTATGGTCTGGTACATCACCGTGGTCCGCACAATCTGGTGTATTCATTCAAGTTCATATCGCTGAACAACACGAACCAATCGCGTTCACGGAAACGGACATGTCCGATGATAGTGTTTTGTAGCCTTTTTGAGCGTGTAGGCACCGAAATGCTTGACGAATCAGGTGCGCGATGAGGTGTTTTTGATGCTAATAAACGTACTGGCACATTGCGATCTTGCGTCTCACATGTTTACATATGGCAGAAAGAGAGCAGCTACAAGGGTGTGCTTGTGTGGCGATGGACTACTGGTGCCCGTTATCGGCCATGTTAATTTCGCTCAAAATCACCAACCAATCAGGATGCCGATAACTCACCGTACTGTGTCACGGTTTTTTAGCAATTTGAGAAACAAGTGAACGATTGGCTGGATCCTAAACCCCATACACAACAGGTTAGGCTGGTCAGGCGTGGATGTAACTAATGCAATCTCAAGTATCACAACTATGTGCGGCAACCGGGATTGCGATTGAGGGTATTCTGTCTTGCTTTTAGGGGTGTGTTAGTTGCTTGATGGAAACACAACTTATAAACCGGACGCGGAATGTACCACATATTCAACTTTTACACCAATCTGAGACACCCACAGATGTGTGTGCCCATGATTGGCTGGTCCACAACGGCTGAACCATTCACATTCTCGAGACTCAAATCTATGGGCGATCTATGGGTTTGCGACCATACGTTTGATTATTTTGGCATGGATGGTTTGTTAGATGATCCTCGATACCTAATATCAAATTCTTACAGTGCACTAACACGTAATCCAAACTGTCAGACCTAAGACACCTACAAAATTGGGTAAGCTAGATGCTGAACCACACATGCCAGATAAATGGATTATTTATGACGGCCACCGAAACTCACCCTACCGTGTGGTACACACCACCCGCAACCCTGTCGGACCCATACTTCTGGGTGCATGTCGCTGAGTTGTGGTTACGCCCCAAGCAGGTTCTGCAGCGATAGTTCGCTGGCGGAGCATCTCTGCACCTGTTGGAAGGGGGACGGCAGGACCCCTACGAGTGAATGTAGGTGCGTCACAAACACCCTGAGGCACAGGTGTTGTCTGTGCCATCAGGGTGTTGATGCAGGTCCCGGGGATGGTGTGGGAGTAGGTGACGCGGAGGTTGACAGTGGTGTAGCAGTCGCTGACATACTCCCACCCGTTCTTGTTTGCCATAGGAAAATACGCCATGGCATGTGCGCAGGGAAAAGCGTACTCTTTCCAATTGCCGCACTCACAGCTACCCTCGCCACGTAGGTCGACATTAAAGCTGCGTGGGGTTGGGTCCGACGCGTTGCCGTTGTTGATCACCTCCGCGAAGAACTCGATGTTGGAGATTTTCACTTCGTAGTTCTTTGCCTGCTCGCACTTCTCATACCGTTTTCTCCCCCACTCCGTAAAGTAGTCGTCCCGGGCTTTAGCCTCCTCACGCCGCTCATGAAACTTCTTGACGTTGTAGTCCCACATTGATGCTAACAGATACGCGGGTGGCACGCGGTGGATGGATTTTACGGCCCCGTTGGTCGACTCCGCCATGTTGCTCATGTAGATGCCGAATCTCCTCGTTGGGGCCGCACATCGAGCCCACTGCTTCTCGTACACCCAGATTCTGTTCCTGCGTGCAGTGCAATCACCGCGAAGACCAGTTCGGACCCGCACGCCATCCTCACCGTCCTCCAGGGAGCCCTCTTCCACGACGGTCGCCTCGTCCTCTACCACGCTGGGCGTCGCCTCGTTGGTGGTCCCAAGCGGCGTTCCCGGGTCCACGTTGGGAGGAGGTGGGTCACGTGTTGCTGCCGCGGTCGGTGGTGGCTGGCGGGCGGGTGCCGCGGTCGGTGGTGGCTGGCGGGCGGGTGCCGCGGTCGGTGGTGGATCTCGGGTTGGTGCCTCTGTTGGTGGGGCGACTCCCGGGACGGTAACTCTCATAACAATGATGCCAAAGTTGAAGCACGAAGCTGTTCCTCGCCATCCGGTGTAGAACGTCGCAGTGGTGGTGGCTCCGGCTGGGAAGAAGATGGTGCGGTTGTTCCGGCAAGATGGACTGCAACATGGACACGGAAATCGTACGAAATGAGCAGTACCCTATCAAATCACGACGGCCGAAAATGTAGGACACGTTGACCCCACGCTGGGGTGATCACACGGTGCATGTGAATGGTTACGAGTACACATAATAAACGGTAGGGCGCATTGACAAGCCGTTATTCAAACGAACCTGTAGAATCAGATGGGTCGTACGGAGTGGATGGTGATGGCGTTGCGGATGGTCCTTCCATGGTGGCCGGGCGGGGGGTTGCGGTGGGCCTCGGCACTGCGGGTGGGCATGGCGCTGCGGATGATGCTGGTGCAGCTGAAGGGTGGGTCGCAGAAGCGCGAGACTGTGCTGCGGATGGGGGTGGCGCTGCCGACTGCCCTGACGCTGCCGATGGGCATGCAGACTCGAATGATGCAGGTGGCCCGGATGCGGGCGACGGTGCAGTGGACGGGCCGGACGCCGCGGGCGGCCCTGGCACAGCAGGTGGGCATGGCGTTGCGGACGATGCATGTGCAACGGCTGGGCGGGTCGAAGAAGGGGGCGAAGGTGCCGTGTACGAGCGGGGCGCTGCGGACGGCCCTGGCGCAGCAGGTGGGCTAGGCGTTGCGGACGATGCATGTGCCGCGGCTGGGCGGGTCGCAGCAGCGGGCGACGGTGCTGTGGACGGGTGGGGCTCTGCGGACGGCCTTGGCGCTGCAGAAGGGCCACGCCCTCCGGATGTTGCATGTGCCGCGGATGTGCGGGTCGCAGCAGCGGGTGACGGTGCGGTGGACGGGCGGGGCGCTGCGGACGGCCCAGCCGCTGCGGCATTCGGAGTTGGGCGTCCTGGGCCGCCCTGTCTCTGTCGGCGGCCGCTTCGCTGCGACTGGGCCTGGCGTGCACGACGCCGTGCTTCAGCCGCTTCCGCCGCAATGTTGTTGGCGGTCGCACGCGTGCGGTGTGTTTGCTGAACGTTACGACGGCGAATACGGAAACCAGCTGGTGGAGTGGGGTTTGGACCTGGCCCCGCGGCCACAGGCGACAGACCGTAGAGGTAAGTCGTGAGCAGTGGATGTGAATCTTGTGCACCGACCTTGAGCTCGTTGTACTTCTCCAATGTCCGGGCAGTCAGAAGCCGCCATAACATGTCCGCGGAAGTCTTCCCGAACCGCTTCACGTTCTGCTGCATGTGCCACCCACAGAAGTAGTGCGCCACCTTCTCAGGGAACACTTCCTTTACCGCCGGGATGGGACCTTTGTCCCGGTCACTGATGATGGCCGCGTCGTCCCGTCCCTTCCAGTCGGAGCAGTGCTTATCAAAGAGCCGGCAAAACCAAGTCCATGTGTCCTTGGTTTCGCTCTCTACGAGCGCCCAGGCGATCGGGATGATCTGCTGATTGCCGTCCATCGCGTTGGCATACAGCAGGGTAGCCTTCTGAGCACGGATCAGGAAAGTCCCGTCCATTGCGATGACGTGCCTGCACGTCTTCAGTGCTTCGCGTGTTGCACTCGGCGCCATGAAGAAGCGGAGAAATTCGTGGTTGTAAGTCAAAAGCTCCACGGTTGCTCCGCTGTCGATCCGCCGAATGCGCTCTTGCACCGCCGGAATGTAGCGGAATGACTCCCACCAGTCGCCGAATCGCTGCGCCGTGATGCCTACCTTCAGCCTGCGTGAGAGGAATGTATGGGTGGTATGGGGACATGAGTGAAGTGGAGGCAACTGTCGGTAACAGAGAAGCTCCCCTGTTGTTCGGCCTATGACGGATGTACGCTCACCGGTAGGCGTTGTTGTAAGTTAACTTCGGGCCAGCGCAGGCCTGAATCTGCCTGGCGTAGTCCCAAGGGGCGTTGAACGGCGCTGCACGGACGAAGTTGCCGAATTTCCGCCAAAGGTACTTCCTCTTACGTCCCATCCCCGGCCACCACCGGGCCCGCATGCGGCGGTCGCATGTATGCTCTGAGGGATCGGATAGCTCCACGATTCGCCACGGTCCGTCTCGCTCGAGACGCGCGTAGCTGCATCGCCATGGACAAGGGGGGTCCAAGCCAAGCTTCTGACTCTTGCACAACGCTAGCGCCGATGCCTTTCTGGTAGCCTTCATGTAGAAACCGTACTTATGCACTACCGCATCATCAAGCTGTTACAATCTGAAATGTGACTTAGCGAAGAGGATCGTTCAGGGTTGATCGCGGGTAGTGTCGCAGCGGAAGTAGTGAACTCAGGTCAGAGTGAATGTAAATGACTGAGATTGATAATAGCATGCATACATTGGGTTTATATAGAAATACAAAGGAATGCGAAACGACCTAGACTAGCCATGTACTCTAAGGGGTACATTCCCTTATTGCAGCGAAATTTAAACCGTGCGGCGCGGGAATCAGTTTCAAACCTGTTCCCGCTCTTTTCACTTCAAATGCTTCTGCCTGCATCGGTCTTAGTCAGACGGTTGCTGTGTCGCTTCGACTCTTCTGACTCCTCGACTTCGTACTCGGTAGAGTCGGCTCCTGCAGCATACAGGAATGCCTTCTCATAAAACTTCATATCGTAACACTCCCCTTCATTCCTGGACGCGAGGGGTGCTGACTCGCTTGACCACTCCGGTGAGGTCGGAGCAGTGCTTGAACTGCTGACGTGGCAGACGCTTGGTGAGGAAGTCGGCTGCCATTTCAGTGGTTGGGCAGTAAGCGAGGTCAACTTTACCCTGGTCGATTTCGTCCTTGACGAAGAAGTACCGCAGTGCGATGTGCTTCGTGCGGTTCACGAACCCGGGCTTGTTCGCGATCTTGATCGCGCTCTGGTTGTCGCAGTGCAGGCGAAAGGTAGGCGAGGTTGGAATTTTCGCCTCCTGTAACAGCTCCTGCAGGTACAGACCTTCGCGAACTGCTGCTGTCGCGGCGATGTATTCAGCTTCGGCCGATGACAGGGCAACCAGTTCCTGCTTCTGCGAGTTCCAGGAGATGGGGCCAGTTGGCTCCAGGCGAAAAACGAAGCCGGTTCGGGACCGTCGATTTGCTGGGCCAGCGCCATGGTGATCGGGGGGGTGAGCGTGCTGGTGGTGGTCTTCCGAGGGGTATGGTGACGCGGGGTGGTTCCTCTCCGCGTTCGGTGCGCATCTCTTGTTCTGCTTCCTCCAGTTCTTCTTGGGTGAGATCTGCTTCGGCTGTTTCTTCCGTACCCCAGCCTCCTGTGGTAGCCATGCCACTGCCGCTGGATCCCCATGCTCCGATGGCTGATGCCCGTGTGGCGCCTTCCCCGGGTTGATAGTCATCGTCTCCCCATCCACCTCGTCGTGCCGCTCCAGCCTGCTGCGATGCGCTCTTCGTACAGTTTTTGTTTCTTCTCTGCCCTGACCTTATCTTGTTCCTCTTTGACGCTTAACTCCTCTGCCTCATCAGGGTCTTTCCAGGCTGGGTCAATTTCGCGGCGATAAACTTCGCGGGTGTACGGGCGCGGGCGTCCTTCCTCGTCTATGGTGGTGGCGTTGGCCTCGAGGATGAATCGGAGAGTTTCGGAACGTGGTGTGGGCCGCGGATCAGGCAGGTGACCGAACTGCTTGTTTTCTTCTCCGAAGATGCGGTAAGTTGATACCGCGAGTTCTTCTTCGGTCATGCCAGTTGGTTCTTCCTCTGCGCTCTCTGCCTCCTGGATCGCCGCGAATTCCCTCTCCACTTGTTCCGTGCGGCTTGCAGCGGGTGTATGGCAGGTGGTGCAGAGCCCGTTGATGTCGGGGTTGTGCAGATTGATTTCGCGCGGATGTGGGCTGCGGCGAATCCACGGTCGCCCGTCAGGATGTTGCCACGATTCTTCGTTCATGAAGGCGAATTCGAGGGGGACCAGGTCCACGAGCTCATCCGACGAGGCTTCACAGCTTGGTACGTCGAAGTCCAGAACGTAGATCCCGTTGATTGAGCGGGCTCGACCGAGGTATTTAAACGACTCGGGAGGTGTGTCCGGAGGGGCGTACGTGAGGATGAGGTCGCGTGTGGCCAGGTCAGTGGTGAGTATGACGCCGCAGTCCCGAAGTTGTCCTGCCGAGAGTAGATTAAAGCGTAGGTCTGGGACGTAGAGCACGTCGTTGAACGAGATGTGAGTGTTGCTGTCTCGTGCTTGCAGAACGACAATGCCTTGGGAGTTGGCGCGCAGTTGGTGGCTATTAGCAACGGTGACGAAGGTTGCGGGGGCTCGGTTGAGGTTTGACACGTAGCGAGTCGACCCCACCATGTGTTGTCCGCAGCAGCTGTCCAGGTACCAGGTGTTGTAGTTGTCTTTGTTGTTGTTGTTGCGGAGTAGTAACGCGAGTCGCGGGGTCACCAGCGTCGCCTTGTAACGTCTGTGAAAAAACGGATCTTTGATTGTCGTGAGGCGGGCTTTCCCGCAGTGTGATTGGCTGATTCCAATCTTGCTCGTCTTCGTCGTGCAGGTAGTAGTGGTCTTCCGTAAGGGGGTTGTTCCACCCTTCTTCTGGTTGCGGCAATGTTCCCTGAAGTTCGTTTTCTTCGTCTGGCTCAGCAGTGCGGCGGCGTCGCGTCGCCATGTTTGCGATTATGTTCCTGGGAGCTCCTCCTTGAGGTCCTTGTGACTGCTGTGGTTGTTGTTGTTGTGCAGGAGGACGGGAGACTGGTTGTTGTGGCTGAGGGTGGCGAGCGTCTTGTCGGCTGACCCAGTTGTTGTGGTGAGTGGGATTCGGGTGCCGATAGTTGGATCGGGATTTGCATCGATCCGTTGAATGCCCGAAGGCTTTGCAAATTTTGCAGTAATGGCGCCTTGGTTGTCGTCGCTCTTCACGGTTGTCTGTGTAGAAGGCGAGTCGCTCTCGCCGCGGCGCGGAACTCGTTCTGCTCGAGTCCATGTCCTGCTGTTCAGTCAGCAGTGCGGCGCATAGCGCGGCTTCGGAAAGTTGTCCTCGTTGTCGGAGTAGTGCCTTGCAGGGCTTCCACTCGGGCCCAAGTCCCTGGAGGATGATGTTTACGAATATCTCCTCCGAGATCGAACTTCCGTTCTTGATGATTTGATCACGGATGTTCCGACAACGGTTGATGTAACTGTTTGCTTTCTCCCCGTGCCCCATCTTCGTCTCCATGAGTTGTTGCAGGAGACGGCTTGCAGTGACGGAATCCTTCGGCTGATATACCTCCACGAGGTGCTTCCAAGCTTCAAGAGCCGGAGCGGCGCTCTCTTTGTAGGAGCGGATGCCGAGCTGTTCTGCTGGCGACATGTTGCGCAGCAGGACGCTATACGCCATGAGCGACTCACTGTAGTATTGAGCGCGGGCGTCTTCGGTGTCTTCCACCGGTTTAGGATAGGAACCGTCGAAGTAGTGGTAGATCTGCGCTGTCTGTAGGAGGAGCTCCAGCTCAAAACTCCATGTATAAAAATCCTTGCCGTCAAACGCGGCAGTAGTCTTGATCTTTGACACACTTAGAAAGCGTGCTTGCGCAGAGTTGATGGTTTCGTCGCTTGGACGAGGGGCAGTTGTTGCAGATTTGTCTGAGTCGAGGGAGAAGCCATGCGCGGCGGTATCGCGGCTTTTCGCAGCCGGTTGTCCAGGTTGAACTGGTTGGGAAGTGGTTCCCGCATCGCCTTTGCGCAGTTCTTGGAGTTCTTTCTCCATTGTTGACAGTCGAGCGAATAACTGCTCGAGCGCGGCAGTGCCGATCGTAGTTGTCGCTTCATTTGTCGCAGCCGGGTTGGTTTGTCCTTCGGCCGTTAGATTTGTTTGGCCTCCGGATCCTCCGGCCATCTTGGTCTTGGAACGTGTGCCGCTCGCCAGATCTTGGTTTGGCGAATTTTACGGAGTTGACGTTGCGAAGAATCCCTGAGCAGCTCTCATACCATGTTACAATCTGAAATGTGACTTAGCGAAGAGGATCGTTCAGGGTTGATCGCGGGTAGTGTCGCAGCGGAAGTAGTGAACTCAGGTCAGAGTGAATGTAAATGACTGAGATTGATTATAGCATGCATACATTGGGTTTATATAGAAATACAAAGGAATGCAAAACGACCTAGACTAGCCATGTACTCTAAGGGGTACATTCCCTTATTGCAGCGAAATTTAAACCGTGCGGCGCGGGAATCAGTTTCAAACCTGTTCCCGCTCTTTTCACTTCAAATGCTTCTGCCTGCATCGGTCTTAGTCAGACGGTTGCTGTGTCGCTTCGACTCTTCTGACTCCTCGACTTCGTACTCGGTAGAGTCGGCTCCTGCAGCATACAGGAATGCCTTCTCATAAAACTTCATATCGTAACACAAGCAAAGCAAAGAGGCAATGATCCCGCGAGGAGTACCAGTTACCCTCCTGAATGGCCGCGTTGTCATTGATAGTAAGCCCCTCCTCGGGTTCAAACTCTACGTCGTATTGCTCCAGGATAATGTCATACATGTCACGGCCATTAGCCGGAGGTTCTTCCATGGTGTATCTGATACAACACCTAGGTTATCCACCCGCAATATGTACATGGGCATCCACTGCCCGCACTTTTTAACGGCGAGACGCGAGCACATGTTTACGCCATGTAGAACTGCCTCAGGTGAGACAAGTACGTGGACTCGGAATCACTGACACATCGTACCACAACTGTGAACAACAAGAATTCACTTGTGAGTCCCAAGGGGCATAATACTGGCAGTGGTTGCCACCGGTAAGAATCGTGAGAAATCGCAGCGCCTGAATCGTGTTATGTTCGCTGGCGCGTTTATTACCAGATTCTGAACACACTATGCCCAATCAAGCGTCGACTTGTGGCATGTATACGGTTAAAGTGGCGCGATAATATCAAAAATAATCAGACCGTTCAAAAACTCGCTCTGCGGCCGCCAACACAACGATTCGCATGCATTCTTGCATGACGTGTCTGTCGCAAGTACTCGCACGTCGAAGCCGTTTCTGAACGACAGAATCCAACCGAGTCGCCTGACAGATGAAGTTGTGTAGCGCAGGTTCCTGGTAACATTTCTGTAGAAGCGCCTGGAACGCCCTGAAGACCGGTTAAATAACACTGGCCAGTCTTGTTTCGCCACGTTCAACCCCCCACACCTCCATTCCCCCACAGTTGTGAACCGAAACTGATGGCCGAACCTGGACGCGCCACTCCTTCGCCGAACCGACTTCCACACTGTGTGGCACGGAAGTTCGATGTCAACCAGCAAACTGCCCACCGACAATTTGGAACCCACCGAAAAAAAAAAGCCTTTTGGTGTTTTAATGAAGCTAAATGTCGGGAACGCGTGCCGCTCGCGATAGAATGTGGAGCGTGTGCCTTTCGGGTTGTGAAAATTTTTAAGCGCGATGAAAAAATTTCCCGAGACCGAAACCCGCGTCGCGGCAATTCGCTCGAGACCTCTCGTATTTCCTCCCTTTCGGCCCCGCGCCGAGCCTGCGCACGCTACCGTCCGACGCGGGATTCGGCGGGAGCCGCGAAGCCGGCGTCACAACCGGCGTAGCTGCCGGGGGCGTCGCCAGTGCCGGCACATGCTACGGCTTCAGCGGTGCCGGCCCGGTGGGGTTCAACACCGATGCGGCGAACACAGCGTCGTCGCGACTCTATGCGACGGGGGCGACTGACAGCAGTAACCAGCCGGCGAAAGATAATAACAACCAGACGAACACCAACAATAACAACAACGGCGCGAGCGAGAGCAGCACGCTGAGAGAGTACGCGTGGCTGGGCACCATGGCTCACGCGCTCGCCGCCATTTCCCGTGGTCCCGCCGCTAGCCAGGTGCGCACGGTGGAACCAGCATCAGCTTGACGCTCGTTATTTCACAAAGTTTCATTCCGACTCAAATTGCCCACGCGTTCTCGCACGCTCGTGTTCGCCATGTCGATGTTTTCCTGTCCACGTGGCAGGTGGCAAGTGGCGAGACGTTAGCGGACGCAATAATCGACATTTGCAGGGAACTGAGTCTCAGCGATGGTAACTTTGGGCTCGCGAAAGGCCTCGCTGTATTCTTCGATGAGGTGGATTCGCCGACCTTATCTGATATGTAGGCGATCAAATGAAGAATCAGTAATAGTATAAATGTGCATTTGCTTCTGTCCCGTCAAGCACGGAATTCTCACCCCTTGCTGCTCGAATGTTGTTCCTTTGCTGCCCTTTTTCCCAAACGTACCTGCAGATTCTTTCGGAGGAGGAATCTCAGGAATTTTTCTTCTCCACGCTGCCCGGAATGGCCTCGCTCGCCCTCCGTCTTCCGAGCCTCGTCTCTCAGCAGGCTTGGAGCGTGGAACAGGCAGCCCAAGCCGCAGCGCAGTCTCGCAGCAGCGGGGGGAGCGGAAGCGGGGAAAGCGGGAGCGGAAGCGGGAGCGGAAGCGGGGAAAGCGGGAGCGGAAGCGGGAGCAGAAGCGGGGAAAGCGGGAGCGGAAGCGGGAGCGGGAGTGGAAGCGGAAGCGGAAGCGGGAGCGGAAGCGGAAGCGGAAGCGGAAGCGGGAGCGGGGGGTGCGAGAAGTGGCAGAGGGGAACACAGATGACGCTGCAGCTGCTGAGACCGCAGCAGCCAGGGCTTGTGCTTATAACGCAGGAGCTCGCAACGGCGATGTTGGTGGGCGCATTCTTGTGCGTTCCGACGGCCGGGCGAGCGCAGGAGAGACTGCATGAGATCAACTTCAACCGCCTCTATGGGTGAGTGAGTCGCTGGGGGGGACGTGGAGAGGGGGCAGAATGGGGGGATGGGGGGATGGGGACATGCTAGTTGGCTTGACGAGTCTGGATGGGGCATGCAGCATGTCTTGGCGTTGCGCTCTCAACGAGAAGATTATTGCATCTGCTCCCGCCTCTGTGCCTCTTCTCGCCCATCTCGCCCTTCATGCCCGTCACGCTCCTTACGAACGACGTGCTCCCGACCCTCTCATCCCTCTCGTCCCTCTTACCGTCCACTCTCCCCATGCGCATCCTCTCATCGGTTTCGCACATGCAGGGGCCATACGCAAGGGTCAGCGCGGTGCAAAGAGAAGCTACGCTGCCTGCTGCACCATTTCCACCCACCTGTCCTCTCCTCCATGCCTTACAGCATTGCCTCTTACTCCCATCTCTCTCCTCCCCTTTCCCCTTTCCTTGGTCCTCAAGCACTTCAGGGGCATGTACGAGGGGTGGCCGCAGGAACAGGAGAAGCTGCGGTGCCTGCTGCACTACTTCCGCCGAGTCGTCGCCTCCATGCCTCAGGGCACCGTCTCCTATGAGCGCAAGGTGCTGCCCCTCACTGCTCTCACCCCCGCCACTGTCACACCCGCCACTGTCACACCCGCTGCTGCTGCCGCCCCGTCGGCCCTCCACACGTTCAACGCCCCCGTTACTGACACTCCAGGCCATAAAGCAGCAGGATGTATATGGTTGGGGTGGGGAGGCAAGGGAGGGTGGAGGGCGGGGAAGTGGGAGCATGAGACAAGGCACTGGGAGTTCGCCGCCCGGAGGCGGTGGGAGTGGTGGGCGGTGCGGTAACGGTAGTGCCGGTAGTAAGGGCAGTGGTAACGGCGGTGGTGACGGCAACGGGAGCGGTTACGACATTGGTTACCAGATGCAGAAAAGCAGCTTCAATCACAGCTCAGGTCCAACAACAGGCTTGGATCCGAGCCTGGCAGGGTCGTGGGGGAAGGAGGGGGAGGGAGGAGGGGGGCAGGTGCGGAGTGGGGGGAGCAAAAGGAGCTTGGAGGGGAGTTGGGGGACGCTTCCTCCTCCCCCTGATGCGGACTTCTGGGGGTCAAGGCGGACTCCTCTCTGCGCCCTGGTGGTGAGTGCCAACGGCATTGAGGGGGAGGGGGATGTTAGAGGGAAGACCGGTGTTGGTGTGGGGGAGAGGGGTGGAGAGAGGTTTGGGTGAGATAGGTAGCATAGGTGGGAGGGAAAATAGGGGGCATATGTACACTGCTTCCAATGATAACACGCCTGCTGGCTCATGCACATTTCACAAGACCTCCTTCCCAAACCTCCTCCACCCTTTCCTCCCTCCCAACTCTCCTTTTTCACCCACCCATGCACCACCAGGTGCATGAGCGCGGCACAATAGAGGACGACGGCACGGGCTGCCTGCAGGTCGACTTTGCCAATGCCTTTCTGGGCGGCGGCACGCTGGGCGCGGGGTGCGTGCAGGAAGAGATTCGTTTCGTCATCTGCCCGGAGCTCATCGTCGGAATGCTTTTTCTGCCCGCCATGGAGGACAACGAGACGATTGAGATTGTGGGGCCCTAGCGGTTCAGCAAATACACTGGGTGAGTGAGTCAGCAGATTGACGGATCGAGTCAGCAAATTTTCATTGATGAGTCAGCAGATACAGTGGGTTGAGGTACCTTATTCTGCTTACCATACTTCCATCTCCCTTCCCAACTCCTCCTCCCCTTACTCTTCCCCCATGACTCTCCTCCTCACTCTCCTACCCTCAGCTACAAAGAAACGTTCAAGTTTGCCGGAGATTTCATCGACACATCCCCGCGGGACTCCCTGGGCCGGCGCCAGACGCGGGTAGTGGCCATGGATGCCGTGCCCCTCGCAGCACACCGCCAGTACCGCACCTCCCGCCTTCTCAGAGAGACCAACAAGGCCTTCTACGCCTTCCTAGACCACGCCTCTGCCAGGGGGCTTGCCGGGAGGTCCATTCTCACAAGTAATGACAGTAATAGCCCGGAGTTTCCGGAGGGTACTGCGCAAATGTCCCTGTTGTCGGGGTTTATGAGAGGGGAGAGAGGGGGGAGTGGGAGTGAGGGGGAGGGGAGGGGGAGTGGTGAGGAGGAAGGGGGGGGGAGTATGGGGGAGGGGCGTGGGAGAAAGGCGAGGGGAGGAGGGGGAGGTAACGAGGGGATGATTGTTGATGAGGGGTTTGTCATAGTGGAGAGGGGTGCAGGGAGGTTGAGGGGAGTGCGGGAGGAGTGGGGGGAAGAGAGAGAGGCGGAGCAAGCAGGGGGGTTTGAAGAGGGGGCTGCAGGGGTAGTGGCGGCAGTGGTGGGAGCAGCAGCAGCAGCGGGGGGTGAGGGCGGGGCGGGTGGGCCTGACATGGCAGCAGAAGCGCATGGGCATAGCGACGGGCAACTGGGGGTGCGGTGCGTTTGGGGGCGACGTGCAGGTGAAGAGCATGCTGCAGTGGATGGCTGCCTCCCAGGCCGGCCGCCCCCATGTGCTCTACTTCACCTACGCTGACCACCGCGCTGCCCGGCTCAAAGAGGTACCACACTCGCACCACCGCACCGCTTGCTACTCCTGCTCACTCGTGGGTGGCATTTGGTTGAGTGCAAGTGAGGGAGGGGTGGAATGCGAGCGAGTTATGTCCCACAGGGACTAGGAAGCAGGCAGAGATGAGATGTACTTGAGACGTACTGTGCACATCCTATCCCGTGCAGGTGTGTGAGTGGGTGCTGCGGGAGGGATGGAGTGTGGGCAAGCTCTGGACGAGCGTGGGTGAGTACAGTCGGCAGCGGCGAGACCACCAGCTGCACCTGCACGTGCCCCACCAGCACGAGCAGCACCTTCTCTCCCAGCACGAGCAGCAGCAGCAGCAGCAGCAGCAACAAGGCACGGACTACCAGTACCAGGATTCCGAGCAGCAGCAGCAGCAGCAGCAGCAGGGGCAAGGGCAGCAGGGACATGGGGAGAGGAGGCGGGAGCGGTATGGCACACCAGTGTCCTTCTTTGATTGGCTCATCCCCATGCAGCAGCGATCCGGTAGGTAGGTGGGTGGGTGGGCGGGCAAGTGGGGGGGTGGCCAGAGATGCAGACTCCTACCCATTCCGTGTCCCGAGGTGACATGATATGTGACAAATATGTAGCTTGACAATGACGGTGCTCTGAAGTGAGAGAAGCCTAGTGACTTTCAGAGGGCTTTGAGTATCATACACGAAGTATGATTCTGTAGGCTCTTGTTCTCCGCTGCCGTGTCCTTTAAGGCCAACTGTTAAGCAAGCTGAACCAACCCTTGTGCTTCAGTTGCTTTCCCCCGCCCCTGCCCATCCAAGCCTGTCAGCAGGTTCTCTCGAGCCTGACGCCAAGTGTGCCCGCCGGTCCACTTTTGGAGGTTTGCCCCGAGCCGTGTCGTCCCCTCCCTGCACCTCCTGCTCCCTGCACACCGAACTGCAGTACGCTTTTGAAGGCCTGTGCCTCGTGCCTGAATTGCGGGGAACCACCGATGGGGCCAGAACCGCCCAGCAGAGTGGTCGTGCGCAGGGTGGTGAGGGTTTGCGGTGTGGTGGTGTGGCGGATGACAGTGAAGGGGAGGGAGGAGGGGGAGGAGGGGGAGAAGGGGGAGGAGGGGGGGGAGGAGGCGGAGGAAGAAGAGGGGGTGGGGTGCATGGGGAAGTGCCAGGTAGTGCTAATGCATGTGTGCGGGATGAGGCACAGGGAGCAGGGCGCAGGGAGGAGGCAAAAGAAGCAGGGCAACGTGATAAGCAGGTACAAGAAGCAGGGCGCAGAGTGCAGCAGGGGCACGAAGCCGTGCATAGGGAGCAAGGGTGGGAGGACAGGTGCAGCAGGGGAGGGCAGGTAGGGCAGCAGGAGGCAGGTCGGGGTGGGCACGTTGAGTGGGAAGTGGAAGCACGACCCATGCAGACGTGGTCGCTCAGGCGTGGCAAGAAGGGGGTGAAGAGGGGGGAGTGGAGGAAGGAGTGGGAGGGCTTGGGAAGGGTGAGAGGAGAGGGAGGAGGGGCAAGGGGAAGGGCGAGAGGAGCGACAAGAGGAGAGGTTCCAGTGCCTTACAGGGAAGCAAGGTGGCATGGGGATGGGGATGGTGGGGTTGCTGGTGATGGCAATGAGAGAGATGGGGAAAGAATGCACGACGAGGAGCATGAGCTGGCGCAAGAGTAGGAGGAGGAGCAAGACTAGGAGGGGGGAAGAGGAGCGGCCATAGATGTCTACCTCGTTGGGGAGAGTGGAGTGCCCAGAGCAGCAGACAGCAGCCCCCGCAGCAGCAGCAACATCAGTTACAACACAATCTGCAGCAGTGGCAGCAGCAGAGGGAGTGAGGCTGTGGAGAGGGAGTGGTGCCTGGAAGTGGTGGTGAGGCGTCCCAGCAGCAGTGAACCCAGCAGCCATCAGTCCAACAGAAGCCTGCACACGAGACAGACGAGGCTCAGGCCGAAGCACGGGGTCAGGTACGGGAACTGACTGGGGAAGAGGGTGAATTGGAAGAAAGGGATAAGAAGGGAGGAGAAAGAGGAAGGCGTGGGGGGGGGGGGATGAGATTGAAGGGAGGGAGGATAGGTCTACTAATCAGAGTTAAGCCCGAGGTCAGCATGGTAATTTTTCAAGTTATGTGAGGTTGAAATAGCCTTGGCGAAACCTTGAAAACAAGAAATCCAAGAATCAGGGTGTGGCGAAAGCAAAATTTGGGGGTGGCCAAAATGGTGCTCGTCACACATCTCTGCGACAGCTATTTCCGAAAATGTGCTCAAGTGTGAGTGAAGACATTGCTTGCCCCACACACCTTCATTCTCGTGAACAAAACCACCTGACATCCCTGATCCACCTAGCGAGGACAGCAGCACAACATAAAAACTACTTAGTAAAGCCGCCTCCCTTCCTTCATCGAGCTCCTCCCTCGCCGCACTTCCCATTGTCACGTTCCCCCGCCCATCGTCCAGCCATCCCCTGTCGCGCCACCCATCCTTTTGTCGCGCATCCTATCCCATCGTCACGCCTCCCCTCGGTTCTAGGAACCTCCCCTTGTCGCGCCTCCCGGCGCCGCGTCTCCGCTCACCGCACCGCGCCTACCCTGCCATCAGCGCGCCTACTCTGCCATCAGCGCGCCTGCTCTGCCATCAGCGCGCCTGCTCTGCCATCAGCGCGCCTGCTCTGCCATCAGCGCGCCTGCTCTGCCATCAGCGCGCCTGCTCTGCCATCAGCGCGCCTGCTCTGCCATCAGCGCGCCTGCTCTGCCATCAGCGCGCCTGCTCTGCCATCAGCGCGCCTGCTCTGCCATCAGCGCGCCTGCTCTGCCATCAGCGCGCCTGCTCTGCCATCAGCGCGCCTGCTCTGCCATCAGCGCGCCTGCTCTGCCATCAGCGCGCCTGCTCTGCCATCAGCGCGCCTGCTCTGCCATCAGCGCGCCTGCTCTGCCATCAGCGCGCCTGCTCTGCCATCAGCGCGCCTGCTCTGCCATCAGCGCGCCTGCTCTGCCATCAGCGCGCCTGCTCTGCCATCAGCGCGCCTGCTCTGCCATCAGCGCGCCTGCTCTGCCATCAGCGCGCCTGCTCTGCCATCAGAGCGCCAGAACCCTCGTCTCGCTGCCCCTCCTCGCGCCTCCACTCCCGCTGCCCTTCTCCCACCTGCCCATCCCTTGCCCTCGCTTCCTTATCCTTCCATTTCGTCTTGTTATCTTCCCCTATATTTTCCCAATGATTCCCGTCATTCCCGGTGTCCTTCCCCTCATCCCTGCTTCCTCTCGTTTTCCTCCCTGCTTCCTCTAATCCCCCCCCCTGATTTCCCTAATGTTAACCTCCTGCTTCCCCTCATTTCCCTCCCTACGTCCACTGATTCTCCCCTCTCATCAATCCCCCCTCTGCTTCCTAGGATTTCCCCCTCTGTTTCCCCTCGTTTCTCCCCTTGCTTCCCCTCGTTTCCTCCTCTTCCTCCCCAAGTTTCCTCCTCTTCTTCTCCTCGTTTCATATTCCTATTTCCCGCATTCCCTCTCCCCATCTTCCTATCTCCCCTCTTCCCTATCCTCCCTCTTCCTACGGTATTCGTATCTTTCCCTCTCCCCCTCTTCCATCTCCCCTCTTCCCTGTCCTCCATATACCTACTGCATTCCTTCTTTCCCTCTCACCCTCTTCCTATCTCCTCCTTTCCCTCACCCCTCCTCTTCCCCGCCCCCACTTACCTATCTCCCCTTTTGATTGTTTTTTCTTGTTCCCCCTCCCCATCCTTCGTATTCTCTCCCTCTCTCTGTCTATTGCAGTGACACCACTCAAGCTTTTTCTGGCACAGCAACTCACTGAAGCCCATTGTCCCATGCCACGCTCATAGAGAAACCAGCATTAGGAGCATGCCTCTACCTTTTTTACACTCTATCTTTCTACCTTTCTGACCAGCATTAGCAGCATCTTGGAAGAATATCTTGCACTGCAGAAACAAAAGCATGTATTGTGCCTTTGAGATGAATATCTTCAACAGTATTACAAAACTTGAAACAGGTGGTGGTACTGTGCAAAGCATGGACTAGCTCTAGTTGCACCTCAGCTTGCTCCTCTGCTTCACCACTGAAAATTAGGGGAGTGGAGTAGGCACAAAGAATTGTGTGAAGGAACATTGGGGAGGTGGTGTGAGGTGCAAAGGGAACAACAGCAAACAAGTTAGCGCACATGATGAAAGCATGTATGGGGATGGGGGGAAGCAGGAGAGGGGAGCAGAGGAGAAGTGGAGTACAGCACGGGGAGGAGAGGCACATGGGGGGGGAGAGGAGGGGTACAACGCGGGAAGGAGAAGCACATGGGGGAGGGAGAGGACAGATGATGAGATCGAGGGGGAGAAGGGGCATATGGGGAAAGCCAATGCTCACCTGGTGTGCGGCGCTCACGTCTCTGAGGGTGGGGGCAGGCAGGGCGGAGGGTGGGGGGAAGCAGGGCGGAGGGTGGGGGGAAGCAGGGCGTGAGGAGATAACTAGTTCAACGGGAGCTAGATTACGGGCTAGGCACGGTTGCTCGTGTGATCTCTGCGTTCGTTCCTTAGTCGTTTCCAAGTGCTAACACTGCTTGCTAGTTCACGGGGAAATTTTGCAAGAGTTTCACTAGGAAATCATCACAACAAAAGTTCAGAAATGATTGCATCAACATTGGCAACACTGACTACATCAGACCTAGCAAGGCTTGCTGGTCCACTGCCAGCGCAGCACGGTCGACCGCGTGCCAGCACAACTCTGTCGACCGCGCTCCAGCAGAGCAGAGTCGCGGCTTGCCAACGTTGCAAGTCTGCGGTGCGCCAACGCTGCAGTATGTCGGCTGCACAGCGTCGCATCCGCGGGACAACGGTGCACCAGCTTCGCAGGTGCGTGCAGCTGGTTGGCGCCCAACTCCCCGTCACATGCCCAGCGCAGACACTTCGCCCGTGACGGCGCCCACCAGCCACGTCGACCTCGGGATACCACCCCCGAGATCGCCATCGTAGATAACATCCCCGGCGACTTTCGCGTACGTCGCCCGGGTATCCTGGTTGACCGGGTACTTCGCGGTCCTCCCGCGGTTTCTCGGTCACCGCGGTCCTCCGCGGTTTCGTGGATCCACGATCCCCCGTGATTTCGTGGATCCACGATCCCCCGTGATTTCGTGGCTCCGCGGTCCCCCACGATTTCGTGGCTCCGCGGTCCCCCACGATTTCGTGGCTCCCACAGGCCACTGAAATTTCGTGGCTCCCACGGGCCACTACAATTTCGTGGCTCCCACGGGCCACTACAATTTCGTGGCTCCCACGGTCGGCTCCGCCCAAGCGAGGACGAGGCCAAATACAACTCCTGTCGACACTCCCCTGCCGCGTTCACGCTTGGGCCCCTCCCCCGGCCCACACGGCAGTACTGCTCGGAGAATAGCCCGTCGGCGTGCACACAACGCACAGCACGCCGGTCACCGCACCAGCCATGCAAAAGGGCATGGCACCTACTGCTGCACGTCGTTGTCACCGTCGCCCACATCGGCAGGCGCACTTGGCCGATTGCAACGGAGCACCGGTTGAAGGCCGGGTAGTGCAGCGCCTTCGTCAGGAAGTCGGCCGGCTGCTCAGCGGTCGGGATGTACTTCAGCGAAAACTTCCCGCGCTTCACCATGTGCTGCAGCCAGGCCTGTCGCCGCTCCATATGCTTGAGGTTGCCCGTCAACCCCATGCCTTCGGCGACTGTGATGGCCGACTTGTTGTCCACCCTCAGGACCGTCGGCTTCCCAGCATCCAGCTGCTGGAACTCTGCGAGGAGGAAGCGAAGTCGGCGTCCCTCCTTGCCGGCTTCGACGGCCGCCACGTACTCCGACTCGGTCGACGACAGTGTCGCGCACTTGATGCGTTGGCTCGACCAGGAGACCGCGGCCCCTCCGTAGACGAACACGTAGCCGCCCGTGCTCATCCGGTTCTGCTTGTCGCCCGCGTCGTCGGCGTCCACGTAGCCGACCAACTCCAGTGACTCAGGTCCACCGCCAAACTCCAAGGCGGTGTCACGCGTGCTGGCGAGGTAGGCGAGGCAGCGGTCGACCTCGCGCCAGTGCTGGTCGCTCCTCACCGTGAGGCCGCTCCCCAGCTTGCTGCACGCGAATGCGATGTCCGGCCTCGTCGTCGTCGCCGCGAACTGCAGCGAGCCAACCTTCTGCCGGTACTCCTCCTCCTCGCGCTCCTGCGCCTCCTCGTCGTCGAACGTCAGCTCCGCGTAGGCGCCGACGGAGACCGGCGTCTTCGGAGTGCGCCCGGTCTGCTCCTCGTCGATGAAGCGCCTGCGTAGCTTGTCGGCGTAGCCCTGCTGGTGCAGCCACAATTTTCGCGCCGGCCTGTCGCGCACGATCTCCAGGCCGAGATACTTCTGCACCGGCGAAATCTCACACAGCTCAAAAGCGGCCTCCAGCAGCTCCTTCAGATCCTTCAGCATCGCGGTGCTGCTGCTCGCGGCGAGAAGGTCGTCGACGTAGACCAGCACCCAGCAGGTCACCTGGTTGTCGCCGACCTTGAAGTACAGAGCCTCGTCGACCTGACTCTTCTTCCAGCCAGCGCCGACCAGCACGTCGTTGAGCGCCAAGTACCACAGCAGCGGCGACTGCTTCAGCCCATAGAGGCTCTTCAGCAGCTTGCACACCCGGCCGGACCCGTCGTTGAAGTAGTCCGGCTGGTACATGTACAGCACCCGGTCGAGCTTGCTCTGCAGGAAGGCGTTCTTCATGTCGAGCTGCATCAGGTTGAAGTCGAGGACTGCGACGATGCTGAGGAAGATCCTCAGCGTGATGTAGCTGCTCACCGGCGCATACGTCTCGTCGTAGTCAGCGCCATACACCTGCGTGAAGCCTTTCACGACCAGCCTCGCCTTTTCGCGCTCGACAGTGTCGTCGATGCGGTACTTCGTGGTCAGCACCCACCGGTTCTTCATTATATTCACCCCCGGCGGGCGTTCGACCAGCTCCCAAGTGCCCATGTTGATGAGGCTACGAATCTCCTCCTCCATGGCTGCCTTCACCGCCGGGCCCTTCCAGCTCGCTAACGCCTCCTTCACCGTCATGGTCGAAATGTCCCAACGGTGCTCGGGGTCGGCCAGCATGTCGGGGTCGAGCTCTGGAAACTCGTCTTCAGCGTCATCGTACGCCAGGTCAACGTCGTCCACATCGTAGACCGTGGTGAAGGCAGCGGGGACGAAGAAGTCGGGTGGCCTCCGCATTCAGCCCGACTTCCGGGGTCCGGGCTGCACCTCCACCACATCGCTCGATGTGCCTTCATCGAACTGCTCCCCTGTCGTCCGCTCCTCTGAAGCGAGCTCTGCGTTCGACTGCTTCCCTGACGACGGCTTCTCTGACACGCGCTTCCCGTTCGAAAGCGCCCCTGCCAACTGCTTTGCGGTTTCCTCCGTGGGCTTCTTCACGGTCTCCTCCGCGATCTCCTCTGCGGTCTCGTCCGCGGTTTTCGCGGTGTTTTTCGCGGTGCCCGTCGTGGTCTCCTTCGCGGTGTTCTTCGCGGCTTCCTCCGCGGTGTTCTTCGCGGCTTCCTTCGGGGTGTTGTTCGCGGCTTCGTTCGCGGCGTCCAAAGTTGGCTGCACATCCGCGGCCCGCTTCTCCGCGACTGGCTGGGCATCGCGTCGGCCACCGGCGATGCTCTTGGCCGGCGCCACAGGCGACGCCCCACTACTCCCCTCATCGCCGGAGGCCGACACCGAAGTCAAGCCACGCTGTCCAACTGGAAGGGGAGGGGAAGAAGGGGCAGGAGATGCAGGGGCGACCGCGACATCCTCATCAGCCTGTTCACCAGCCTCGGCGAGTAGAGGAAGCGTCGCCGTCGAAGTGTCCGTCGGCTGGTTGGCCCGCGTCCGCACCGACGCTGGCCCGAATTCCGACTTCCACACCTCCAGCGAAAGAGTTTCGTAGAACACCACGTCCGACGTGGTGACCACCCGGTTGTCAGCGATGTCGAGGAGCTCCCAGCCCTTGCTCTCCTCCGACACGCCGAGGTGAAGGCCCCACCGGGCCTTCGGCTTCAGCTTCCCACCGCGCTGCTGCTCGGGGACGAGGAATTGCGCCATGCAGCCCCACACCCGCGCCAGTGACAGGTCGGGTTTCTGCCCGGTGAGAAGCTGGTACGGCGTCGTCCCCGCGGGCAGCGACGACCGCTCCAGGCAGTTGCGAACCCAGACGGCCTGCCGCAGGGCGAGATGCCACCAGTGGTGCTGCACGCCCATGTGCAGCAGCATCGTCCGCACCGACTCCACCACCGTCCGCATCTCCCGCTCCGCCATGCCGTTCTGCTGCGGGGTGTAGGGGCAGGTCAGGTCGTGGACGATCCCCTTGCCGTCCACGAAGTCAGTGAACGTCTTCCCGAGGAACTCCCCTCCTCGGTCAGAGCGCAGCTGCAACACCGACTTCTTCGTCTGCCGCTCCACCAGCACCAGCCACTTCTAGAACTCCAGCAGCACGTCCGACTTCTTGGCGACCGGCCTCACCCACACGTAGCGAGTCTTGCGGTCCTTCAGCAGCAAGAAGTACAGGCTGCCATCCTTGGCAGCCACGCAAAATGGCCCGCACAAGTCGATGTGCACGACGGCCAGGGCGTCTGCCGCGTCCGAGCCCTTGTCGAGGAAGGTGTGGCGTGCCAGCATTCCGCCAACGCATGAGACACACGGGGAGTCGGCGCCGGACGATGATTTGAGGTCCAACCCGGTGGCGACCTCGTGTTTCGCCGAGCTCCGAATGGTGTCCATGCCGACGTGGGCCAGCCGCGCATGCATCCTGTTCGGCGTCAACTCTGTCTTCGAGACGATCGCCCGCAGGGCCACAACCTCCGGCGTGATGGACGTCGACCTCGTGGAGCAGGGCCGCAGGTCGGTGCAGAGGATACGCCCGGAACACGTCGCCCGACCGAGCACCTCCCCCGTTGCCGAGACGAGCAGCATCCCGTCGCCATCCTCCTTCAGCTTCACGCCATGCTCCTTCAGCTGGCCGGACGACAGCAGGTTCGCGTGCACTCCGGGACATACAGCACGTCGGAGATGAGCACCCGCTTCCCAGCCTCCCCTTGCAGCGCAACCGTGCCCCGTCCCCTGACATCTTGCAACGCCCCATTGAAGCCGCGTACGTGCTTCACGTCGCCGCTCGGCCCCATGTCGACGAAGACCTCCTTTGTCCCCATCAGGTGGTGGGAGCAGCCGCTGTCCAGCAGGACCACCGCCGGGTTCGCCTGCACTGCTGCTGCCATCGCCTGGAAATCCTCACCGGCCTCCGGCGCCAGTGAGACGGTCGGCTCCACGACGCCGACCAGAGAGCACGACGCCGACTTGTCGTCGCTCCCCTTGCCGCCAGCAGAGGAGTCGGCGTCCTTCGCCGAGGTCGACTTGGTCGACTGCTTCTCCTTGCGCGGCTGGTTGCCTCGACGTGGACGACGGCTGGTCGATCTCCCGCGACCTCTCTTGGCGTCGTCGTCGTCGGATTCGCTGCGGTCGGGGCACTCGAAGGAGAGGTGGTCGGGGCTGTGGCAGATCCAGCATTCCCGACGCCGACTTCCTCCTCCGCGACCGCCATCCTTGGACGACTTCTGCTTGTCAGCGTCCTTCTCCGGCTTCCCGCCACCGCGGTGACTGCCACCAGACTGCCCGCGCTGTCCCGGGCGACCACCTTGCTTCGCGGGGGCCGCGAAATGGACTTGCGCGAGAAGCTCTTGGGACCGCTCAGCCTCCTGCATCGCCTCGTCCTGCAGGATGTACGAGGTCAGTGTGTACTCTTTGAGCTTCACCCGCGTGCTTGGCGCCATCGACAGCCGCTTCAGCAGATTGTAGCTGCTCGGGAGTCCTTGCATGACGTGCATGACGTACGAAGCCGTCGAGTATTCCGCGCCAGCCATCCGAATGGTGGCGAGAATTCGCCGAGCTCGGTTGCAGTAGTCCGTCGCGGTCTCCTCGTCACCCATACGCAGATGCGTCAACTGCCCCAAAAGGTAGGAGATGAACAAGTCGTCGGTGACCTGGTAAGTTGACTCGATGAAATGCCACGCCCGGTGGCCAGCGTCGAGGTACTCCCTGCACGACTTCAGGGCGATCTGTACGCCCGGCGAGCAGCACCGCGAGATGACCGTAAAGGTCAGCAAATGCACGGCGCGAAATTCCGCTCGCAGGTCGGGGTAGTGCTCCTCCGGCGTCGCCACGGTCCCGCGGGCGAAGCCTATCAGCCCGGCCATCTCCAGCTGGGGCTCGATGGCTTCCTTCCACGTGAGGATGTCGGGACGACCGACCAGCGGAGGGGTGACCGAGATCCTGTCCGGCGTGAACTTGAAGTAGCCGTAGCTCGGTGCAATTCCTCCCACGGTCACGTGTGTCGCCGACATCGGCGCCAATTCACTTCGTCTGCCTCCGACGTAGTTTCGCGGGGCCCCTGCAGCCGCGGACGACTGCATCCCTCGCGCCTGAACGCCGCCGACTTCATCAGCGTGAATCACACCTCGCTGCCTCGACGTGCCTCCCGCACTGCTGCCAACTTGGTCACCACCGGCGTTGACGCCCACGTCGACGCCGCCCTCGGTGTTCGCCGGTCGAGGAGACGCAGGCCGAGAAGGGTGCTCCGTCGCCCACAAGGAACGGATGCCAGCCTCGACGACCGCCCAAGGCAGGTCGCCATACTCGTTGGCCTCGTGCTTCCTCCTCGCGCTTTCCAGCCGTGCCTCTAGGGTGTCCACCACCCCGGTATCACCTACGGCTACTACCATAGCGACAACCGCACAGCTGCCGGCCTACGAACAACTTAGGTAAGGTGCAACTAAGTCGACTAGACTGAAAGGTAAGTCGCGTGTTCGATCCACGCTCACCGCACCATGCGGAGATAACTAGTACAACGGGAGCTAGACTACGGGCTAGGCACGGTTGCTCGTGTGATCTCTGCGTTCGTTCCTTAGTCGTTTCCAAGTGCTAACACTGCTTGCTAGTTCACGGGGAAATTTTGCAAGAGTTTCACTAGGAAATCATCACAACAAAAGTTCAGAAATGATTGCATCAACATTGGCAACACTGACTACATCAGACCTAGCAAGGCTTGCTGGTCCACTGCCAGCGCAGCACGGTCGACCGCGTGCCAGCACAACTCTGTCGACCGCGCTCCAGCAGAGCAGAGTCGCGGCTTGCCAACGTTGCAAGTTCGTGGTGCGCCAACGCTGCAGTATGTCGGCTGCACAGCGTCGCATCCGCGGGACAACGGTGCACCAGCTTCGCAGGTGCGTGCAGCTGGTTGGCGCCCAACTCCCCGTCACATGCCCAGCGCAGACACTTCGCCCGTGACGGCGCCCACCAGCCACGTCGACCTCGGGATACCACCCCCGAGATCGCCATCGTAGATAACATCCCCGGCGACTTTCGCGTACGTCGCCCGGGTATCCTGGTTGACCGGGTACTTCGCGGTCCTCCCGCGGTTTCTCGGTCACCGCGGTCCTCCGCGGTTTCGTGGATCCACGATCCCCCGTGATTTCGTGGATCCACGATCCCCCGTGATTTCGTGGCTCCGCGGTCCCCCACGATTTCGTGGCTCCGCGGTCCCCCACGATTTCGTGGCTCCCACAGGCCACTGAAATTTCGTGGCTCCCACGGGCCACTACAATTTCGTGGCTCCCACGGGCCACTACAATTTCGTGGCTCCCACGGTCGGCTCCGCCCAAGCGAGGACGGGGCCAAATACAACTCCCGTTGACAGGGCGGAGGGTGGGGGGAAGCAGGGCGGAGGTTGGGGGAAAGCAGGGCGAAGGGTGGGGGGGAAGCAGGGCGGAGGGTGGGGGGAAGCAGGGCGGAGGGTGGGGGGAAGCAGGGCGGAGGGAGGGAGGAAGCAGGGCAGAGGGCGGGGGGAAGCAGGGCAGAGGGCGGAGGGAAGCAGGGCGCAGGGCGGGGAGAAGCAGGGCGGAGGGCGGGGGGAAGCAGGGCGGAGGGCCGGGGGAAGCAGGGCGGACGGCGGGTGGAAGCAGGGCGGAGGGCGGGGGGAAGCAGCGCGGAGGACGGGGGAAGCAGGGCGGAGGGTTGGTGGAAGCAAGGCAGAGGGTGGGGGGAAGCAGGGCGGAGGGTGGGGAGAAGCAGGGCGGAGGGTGGGGGGAAGCAGGGCGTAGGGTGGGGGGAAGCAGGGCGCAGGGTGGGGGGAGGCAGGGCGGAGGGTGGGGGGAAGCAGGGCGCAGGGTGGAAGGAAGCAGGGCGGAGGGTGGGGGGAACCAGGGCGGAGGGTGGGGGGAAGCAGGGCGGAGGGCGGGGGGAAGCAGGGCGGCGGGTGGGGGGAAGCAAGGCGGAGAGGGGGGGGTGAAGCAGGGCGGAGGGCAGGGGGGGAGCAGGGCGGAGGGCGGAGGGAAGCAGGGCAGAGGGCGGCAGGGCGGAGGATGGGGGAAGCAGGGCGGGGGGACGGGGAAAGCAGGGCGGAGGGAGGGGGGAAGCAGGGCGGAGGGTGGGGGGAAGCAGGGCGAAGGGTCGGGGGAAGCAGGGCGAAGGATGGGGAGAAAGGGCGGAGGGTGGGGGGACGCAGGGCGTAGGGTGGGGGGAAGAAGGACGGAAGGTGGGGGGAAGCAGGGCGGAGGGTGGGGGGAGGCAGGGCGGAGGGTGGGGGGAAGCAGGGCGGAGGGATGGGGGAAGTAGGGCAGAGGGTGGGGGGAAGCAGGGCGAAGGGCGGGGGGAAGCAGGCAGAGGGCGGGGGGAAGCAGGGCGGAGGGCGGGGGGAAGCAGTGCGGACGGCGGGGGGAAGCAGGGCGGAGGGCAGGGGGAAGCAGGGCGGAGGACGGGGGAAGCAGGGCGGAGGGTTGGGGGAAGCAAGGCAGAGGGCGGGGGGAAGCAGGGCGGAGGGTGGGGAGGAGCGGGGCGAAGGGTGGGGGGAAGCAGGGCGGAGGGTGGGGGGAAGCAGGGCGCAGGGTGGGGGGAGGCAGGGCGGAGGGTGGGGGGAAGCAGGGCGGAGGGTGGAAGGAAGCAGGGCAGAGGGTGGGGGGAAGCAAGGCGGAGGGGGGGGGGGGGGAAGCAGGGCAGAGGGCGGCAGGACGGAGGATGGGGGAAGCAGGGCGGGGGGAGGGGGAAAGCAGGCGGAGGGTGGGGGAAGCAGGGCGGAGGGTGGGGGGAAGCAGGGCGAAGGATGGGGGGAAGCAGGGCGAAGGATGGGGAGAAGAAGGGCGGAGGGTGGGGGGACGCAGGGCAGAGGGTTGGGGGAAGCAGGACGGAGGGTGGCGGGAAGCAGGGTGGAGGGTGGAAGGAGGCAGGGCGGAGGGTGGGGGGAAGCAGGGCGGAGGGAGGGGGGAAGCAGGGAAGAGGGCGGGGGGAAGCAGGGCGGAGGGCGGAGGGAAGCAGGGCGCAGGGCGGGGGGAAGCAGGGCAGAGGGCGAGGGGAAGCAGAGCGGAGGGTTGGGGGAAGCAAGGCAGAGGGTGGGGAGAAGCAGGGCGGAGGTTGGAAGGAAGCAGGGCGGAGGGTGGGGGGAAGCATGGCGGAGGGTGGGGGGAAGCAGGGCGAAGGGTGGGGGGAAGCAGGGCGGAGGGAGGGGGGAAGCAGGGTAGAGGGCGGGGAGAAGCAGGGCGGAGGGCGGGGGGAAGTAGGGCGGAGGGCAAGGGGAAGCAGGGCGGAGGGCGGGGGGAAGCAGGGCGTAGGACGGGGGAAGCAGGGCGGAGGGTTGGGGGAAGCAGGGCGGAGGGTGGGGGGAAGCAGGGCGGAGGGTGAGGAGAAGCAGGGCAGAGGGTGGGGGGAAGCAGGGCGGAGGGTGGGGGGAAGCAGGGCGCAGGGTGGTGGGAGGCAGGGCGGAGGGTGGGGGGAAGCAGGGCGGAGGGTGGAAGGAAGCAGGGCGGAGGGTGGGGGGAAGCAGGGCGGAGGGTGGGGGGAGGCAGGGCGATGGGTGGGGGGAAGCAGGGCGGAGGGAGGGGGGAAGCAGGGCAGAGGGCGGGGGGAAGCAGGGCGAAGGGTGGGGGGAAGCAGGCCGGAGGGAGGCGGGAAGCAGGGCAGAGGGCGGGGGGAAGCAGGACGGAGGGTGGGGGGAGCAGGGCAGAGGGCGGCAGGGCGGAGGATGGGGGAAGCAGGGCAGCGGGAGGGGGAAAGCAGGGCGGAGGGTGGGGGGAAGCAGGGCGGAGAGTGTTGGGAACCAGGGCGAAGGATGGGGAGAAGAAGGGCGGAGGGTGGGGAGACGCAGGGCGGAGGGTGGGGGGAAGCAGGACGGAGGGTGGGGGAAAGCAGGGCGGAGGGTGGGGGGAGGCAGGGCAGAGGGTGGGGAGAAGCAGGGGTGAGGATTGGGGGAAGCAGGGCAGAGGATGGGGGGAAGCAGGGAGGAGGGTGGGGAGAAGCAGGGCGAAGGGTGCGGGGAAGCATTTTCGTCAGTGAGCAACTTCCGTTCGACTTGGGAAGATCCGAGGGCACGTTTCAAACTGCCATAAAGGGGGGACATGGGGCAATGACTGCTTGACTCATTAGCAGTTAGGTCCTCCATTGTAACAGTTATGACTGCGGTTGTATACTTTTATAGTGTACTTTCAACCAAGAAAAAAAAAAACAACAGAAAAAAAAACCACCGCAGTCGATTGGGTGTCATTTCAGGAGAGCCTTTTCACGTACCTAGGCTCCGTTCGAGTGGGAGATTACTGCCTCCTCGACGTCGTCCTCAAAACATGTAATGGCCTTCCCCCCATTCCGCCCCGACTCCTAAGCTCCTCCCCCCCTGACGCCCCACCACTCCTGACTGAACCCACCCCCCAAAACCCTACGGGGCTTGGGAGAATGATCCGGACAGGTGGGCTCGCACTCTCAACAATTACAACAAGGAGCGGGACAACATGTCATCAAAAGTAGAGCACACGCGGCTGTCGTCGCCATCGCGAAGCTGCCACTGCAAACCTGCAGAATTTAAAGCCGCATCAAAAAAATACTCTACCTGACTCCGTAAGCACCACACAGATACAGCTGTATGGCGCATTGCTAAACGCCGTGCACTTACTATCATCTTCTCATGCGTTCCCTCCTCTCTCAAGCGCGACCTTCGCCCTCCATCCTCCCCCTCCGCCTGGAAGTCTCTCTCCTCCCAAAATGATCGCCAGGACTTATGCTCCCTCCTCTCCCACTTTTGCACCTCCCAATACATCACACTAGACTCCTCCTCAATGCTGCTTCCTTCGCTCGGCGCCTCACGGACACTGCACAACGCCTTAATGATCGTGGCATCTTGATCTCCGACACCCTCCTTACAGCACGCATGGGTGGGCTCCCTCCGTGCCAGTATGTCATTCGCCAAAGCCCCAACAAAGGTCAGACCTGCAACCTGACCACCCATCCCACTGATACGTGCTTCAAAGCCCTCACTGACGAATGGCTTGCACGCGGCAACACAGGCCCTCCTCCACGCTGGAGCACTATCACCCTCCGCCCCACCCCTCATGACATTCTCACCTTCCCCGCCTATGCACCATCTCCCCCAACCTCCATAATGTCCTCGCCCAGCACCTCTCCTCCAGCAAGTCCAACACCTCCTCTCCACACCCACCACCACCTCCACGCCCCCCACCCTCACCCCTTTGCCTCCACCCACCCTCACACCTCAAGCCCCTCCCTCCCCCTATCCTCCTGTCTCCCACTATCCTCCTCCCTATGCTGGCTGGCTCTATCCTCCCACGCCCCATCTATGTATGGCCATGGAACTGCTGCAACTGCTGAACAGACCCCCTCCTCCTCTCACCCCTCGGCTTTGCACTGTTTCCTTTTACGGGCTTCTTAGGCCATGTCTCCACTACTAGCACTTATGATGATCCTATGTATGCGAATGCTATTAATGAGTCTCATTCCAGTACTCCGTGTTCTCCCTCCTCCTCCCAGCCCCTTGAATCCATACTTAACAGTGGAGCCACACACACGGTCCTTCGTAACGCAGGCACGCTCCTCCCCCTCTCTACTCCCTCCACAATACTTGGGGCTGACTCAAGCTTTGCAATACAAAGCCGTTACACTTCCACACTCCCCTGTCCCCTCTTTCCCTCAAGTACCATCACAGAACTCTATATCCCCTCCCTTCGTATTAACCTGGTATCCCTTGGTGCCCTCTCAATGGCAGGTGTCACCGCCATATTGCCTCGTCACGCAGCATATTGTGACTTATTTCACACCTCCTCCAGTCGCTTCGTCTGCCGTGTCCACCGGTGCCCCTCCACCCACATGTACACCTTCGCATCCCACGTCCCACCCTTCACCAACGCTCCACACCCCATCCCCCCGCCGCTTCCTCTCCTCTCGAACCCCCTCGTCCTCCTCTCCCTCCCCCTCCCCCTTCCCCTTCCCCTCCCCTCCCCTTCCCCCTCCCCCCGCCACTTCCCCTCCCCCCTACCCGCCCTCACCCATCTCCCTCCCCTTCCTCCCCCCCCATCTAACCCAACCACCCCCCCCTGTCACTGTCGTGATCTCACACTCCCCACCATTCTCCTCCACAATTGCCTAGGCCATACCAACCTTGCCACCCTTCCCCAATCCATCCTTACTAAACTCCTCACGGCTCAGTTTGTGCTGAAAGCAAGCTGAAGCAACAACCACATACGAGTAACCCCTCCTTTTCCCTCCAACCCTTTGACCTCGTCCACATGGACCTTTGGGGCCCTAACCCTTCCCCCACCAGGCAAGGACATCGCTACCTCCTCATCCTGGCATATGATCACAGTCGATCTCCCTCTATCACCCTCCTTCGTAGGAAGGCGGAGGCTCCGGCCGCCATCACTGCCTGGGCTGAACAAGCACGCAACCACTACGGTCGCACTGTTCGCCGCTTCCATTCTGATGGAGGCGGTGAGTTCCTCAACCGCTCCCTGTCCTCCTGCTGCAACTCTCACGGCATCCTCCACACCTACACTCTCCCTCACTCCCCTCAGCAAAATGGCGTGGCGGAGAGCCGCGTTCGGGAGATCACCAAAACTGCTCGGTGCCTCCTCGTTCGCGCCTCCTGCCCACCTTCTCTTTGGGGCTATGCCATCCTTCACGCTGCCATCCTCACTAACCTCTACCCCCACCCTTCCCGTCCCACCTCCACCCCCACCGAACTATGGACCTCCAGCAAGCCTGACATATCTCCTCTGCGCGTGTACGATTGCAAGGCGTATGTCCTCATACACCGTGCCGACCGCCCACGCGCACATGGAAAGCTTGCGTCCCGTGTGTCTATCTTGGACACAACACCAATTCACTTGACTACCTTTTCCTCCACCCCCTTTCAGGCCACCTCATCCGCAGTTGGGACGTGGTCTTTGACGAGGCCACCCCGTACTACACCTCCCCCTCCGTCCCTAACCCTCTTCCCCCATTTCCCCGACCCCTTATCTGGACTGACAACCTGCCCCTCCTCCCGTCCCCTACCATGACCCCTCCCCCCCTCCTCCACCCCCCACCCCCCCCCTCTCCTCCAGCTCCTTTGACGATATCCTTACCCTACCCCCCCCCCCCCATCCCACTCCGCTACCTCACCTCCCGCTGCACTCACCTCCCTCCTCCTCCCCCCTCCTCCACCTCCCCCACCTCCTTCCCCTCCATCCCCTCTCCCCTCCTCTACCCACCCCCCCCCCTCTACCCCCCCCCCTCCACCTCCCCCCCGGCGCCCCTCCCCTACCCTTGTCCTCCTCCACCATCCCCATACCCGCGCCCTGGACCCCATCCTTGGTCTGCCACATACTGCCCCCCATCCCTCCTCGCCCTCACCGGTACTCCCTTCCCCCCCTCGCTTTAGCCCCGTCACTCCAGATCCACTGCGCAACCGCTCCACGCTCCTGACTGCACCACCGCGCAACCGAGCAACATCACTACCATGTCCCAGACTCGACCTCCAACGCAGCTATCTTGCATCTTCACCACCCCCTCTACCTCCTCCTCTCTCTCCTCTCCTCTATGAAGACACCCACGACGAACTCATCTTTCTCCACCTCGCGCCCTCCATCGCACCCATCGTCTGCACCATGGCAGGCACTCCAGTTCTTCTTTTCTCTGGCACTCCCACCATCTTCGAGAAGGCTATTGCCTGCCTTGACGCACCACTCTGGATTAAAGCCATGGTCAAGGAGAGTAACGCCTTCATCCACAACCACTCCTTCAATGATGTCCCTGCCAATACCAATGTCGTCAAGGGCAAATGGCTCTTCCATATCAAGCTTCTCCCTTGCGAAGGCCTTGTCTACAAAGCTCGCTATGTGGTGAAGGGCTTCACGCAGAAACACGGCTTTGACTTTATTCGAAACATACCCATCCACTGCTAACCCACCGGTTGTTCGGGTGTTCCTTGACTTCGTCAATCGACGCGGCATGCTGCTGTACTCCATGGATGTCTCTACCGCCTTCCTCCAAGGTGACCTACACGAATTCATCTTCATGGAACGCCTCAAAGGCTTTCACGCTCCACATGACCCGTCCACCATTTCAAAGCTGCTGCAGCCTGTCTATGGCCTCAACCAGGAACCCCGGGAATGGCATGCCAAGCTCACTTCCACCCTTCGCAAGCTTGGTTTTCGCCCCTCCCGAGCTGCCTCCAGCCTCTTCCTTCAAACTGCTCCATCCCCTTTCTATATTCTCGTCTACGTTGATGACATGCTACCAGCCGCCGACACATATGCTGAGATGCAGGAGGTCAAGGTTGCTAAGACCTGGGGAAAGTCCATAACTACCTTGACATGGAGATCACCCGCGACCTCAAGGCCAAGACTATCTGCCTCTCTCAGTCCTTCTAAAATGAGAAGGTCCTTGCGAGGTTTGGAATGTTTAAGGCCAAGCCCATCGCCACCCCGCTAAGCAGCTGGGCAATATCTCTCGCCCCCTGCCACCCCGACCGACTGCCACAAAAGAGAGTACGAAGACGAAGGGTCAAGCGACGCGAACGGTTGCGGAGCATCTAGCCGTCGGAGCAAACAACATCGCCATCGCGAGGAAATTGGCAGGAACATTTTCGTAACTGTACGTGCCCCACGGTTGGCTTTTCGCAAATTTGTGCCATCTTAAAGGGTATTATTTTTCCCCTGCTTTTTAAATTAGACCATGCTATGTATTTGCACAACCAAATAATAGTGGTCGCATTACAGATAAAGTTTAGTATTATTTAGGCGTGAAGTATGAGAAATATATTCGTGTTACTTTTCCACCCATTTCAGCCTTGTCGCGGGTTTTTGGGGTTCATTCTTTCAAAATCACAAGCCATCCGAAAGCATTCTGTATTTTTTCAACAAAGAAACAACATAAATCTAAATCGTGAAGTTCAAAAGTTGTGCTTCGAAAGTTGTTGAATGTTTTAAATTGGTACAAACAAATTGCACATACGTGCTGATTCTCTTGGTTCGGAAAAGTGTGCCTGGTGCCGTAGTCAGAAAGCGATGTATTAGGATTCGTCAAAATAATTTTGCACGAGCGCGAAAATCCCAACACGAAGTCATTTCGGCC